TTTTGCTTTTTTTTTTTTTTTTTTTTAAACACTGGCAATTAGACAAGTAAAATAAGTAGAGATTTTTTTAAATGGAGAGGAGATAAAATAAGTTTCAGATAGGATAGTATATTAGGAAAACCCCTATTGACAGGTGACAAATGGTGTTCTATCATTGGAAATACACTCTTTAAAAAAACAAAAGAGAATGAAAAACTTTTCTCCCATAACTGTCACTCTCAAAATTTCTATTTGGCTGAATTTTGTTTTCCTTTCCTATGAATTCCTGGAAGGTTCAAGAATTACTTTAGATATTCTTAATAAAAAATAAAATCTGTCAAACATCTACACACAAGAGCAATCTCACAATAGTCACTTAGCTAAATGAACTAAAAATCAAACTTCAAATTTGTTTCAAAAGCAAAAACTTTCTTCCACTTCATGGAAGTGGTGTGCAGTGTGAAAGGGTTCAAGATCAGGTTTTATTCTCTAATTCCCGAACCTCTATTTTGTCTCTGCTTTATTCCCTGTAGGTGAATAGACTCCAGCTCCAATGGATTGGGACCTGGGAAAGAAAAAAGTCAGAGACAAGATGAAGCCAACATGACTGATACTACTATAATTTAGCGTAAGTCATCTTTTATCTTTTGAGAGAACCTGTTTCTGAAAACCTCCAGATACAGTTGTCTCTCATGGGCACAGCCTCTTCTCCAGCTGCTCCCTTGGTGCTTCCTTTGGACATGCAATGGCCCACCTGCTCTGGTGGATCCTGTTTGTCTAGTTAATCCTCTTGCATAGGATCCAGGACAACCCAGGCAGCCTCCATCCGTATAGTCCTCATCAAGTGCTAAGTTGAGAATTATCCATCTCAGTTATTTGCCCTTACAAATCCTGGAAACATGCACATTTTGCCAAGAATTCTCTCACCACTTTGGTTTCTAATGGCATCAGAATGTGGGAGACCCTTGTTTGTTATGAAGAGGAAGCACCCACATTTTTCCCCTTAGAAAAGTATTCTAAAAATAATTTAATCTCTTTTTTTAATATTTATTTTTAAATATTAAAAAAAATATATTAAAAAAAGAGACACAATATCTTTATTTTATTTTTAAGTGGTGCTGAGGATTGAACCCAGTGCCTCACGCATGCCAGGCGAGCGCACTACTACTTGAGCCATATCCCCAGCCCATAATTTAATCTCTTAAAGACACATTCCTCTCAGCTTCTCCAGACTCTTGAGGTACAAGTTAAATTAATGGTATCAAACCTTATCGTCAGCAGCTTTAGAAAATCCTATTTTAGAATGAAGGACTCAGAATTTTGTTTCACTCACCATCTTTGGAATATCCTCTGAGACTGAGGCAGAAAGATTTCTAAGTTACCATTCTCTTCCTTATATTTATGTTGGATGTGCAGAGTGGACAAGGGCCCAAAAATGGAAATAGTTTTAATTGATTTGTAAGTATAGAGAACTGTTAGGCATGTGTAGTCTCATGTGGCTTTTTTTTTTCCTCTGTCTTAGCTTTGCTGTTTTAGAAATTGTCCGTTTTCTAAAGAGGAGTGCAAAGGAAAGACTGGTCTTCTCTTGCAGATCTCAAAATCATGGCTCAGGTGAGGTGATGGTTCCTTTCTGAAACTTCTGTTATTGTTACAAAGATATTTCTTGTCCTAAATTGTCCCACCAGTCTTCTCTCTTAGAAAACTGGTCCCCATTTCCTCCTTTCTCAGTCTTCTCCCAGAAGATATACAGGGACAGAAGTGCATTTCCTTGAATTAATGAGAATATAGATTTTAATTTTTTTTAGTTGTAGATGAACACAATATCTTTATGTATTTATTTTTATGTGGTGATGAGGATCAAACCCAGTACCTTACTTGTGTGAAGAAAGCACTCTACCACTGAGCTAAAGCCCCAGCCCCTTATATAGATTTTAAAAAGAAGATAAAACCTTTGTCACATTCACAGATCTGAGTAAAGATGGATTTAAAATTGATAGAGTAGTATCAGTAAGTGGCAAGAAGTCATGTCCTGAGGCTTTGAGGATAGAGATGATTGGCAACTTGTACAAAGAACTGAGAATCTTGTTTATCTTGTAAATCCTTTAATACAGAAGGAAAAACCTATGGCCTTCTAATAACATGATTTCTAGAATACTGATGTTATAGATTTATTCCTATTTTAAAATTTCTTCTAATTTTGTATTTGAATATAGAAAGAAATAAGTGTAAATGCATAGACCATCAACTGAACTAGATGTATAACTCTTAAACTATTCTGCTTTTGGTTTCAAAGACACTAATCTTTCCTGTTTCATTCAGAGAATTTGATTTATGTCTTGACCTTTCTTAAAATCTGATATTCTCCAGATTATATGTTAATTTATTTCTCTTTCGTTTATTGTTCCCAATTCATAATGAACCATATTATTTTAATGAAGCCTAAATAAGTTTTACACTTCTATCCTGAGAATCCAAACTTTATATCCATCATCCAACTACACAACACCTACATGTTCCACAGATACTTCATGCACGTGTTTGAGTTATCTTAGTATCTTCCCTGCCCATCCTGTCATTTATGTTTTTTCAAACTGCTTATGGCCCCAGCCTCTACCCACCTGCTAATATAGCTGATATGATTTAAATGTCTCCTATTGAAAATCCATTTCATGGCAAATCCTGTTCCTTATACCACAGTTCCCTCCTTCCTCAATGATACCATTTTTATTTGGGTGTCTCTCTCATTTCCCATTTAACATCTTTATTGCTTTTTCAGTTCCCCAAGTGCCCCCCATAGTGCTTGCTTGCACATCTTTTTATTTATTGTGCTTTTTCATTTAACTTCTTAGTGTTGTAAAATATATAAAACATAAAATTAACATTTTAATTATTTTTAAGTGGGTAATTTGGTCCCTTTCAGTATATTAGCACTGTTGTATAACTGTCACCACTATTTCCAGAACAGGCAATAAATAGGCAAACTCGTACCAATAACTTCCCACTTTTGCTTAACACATTTAGAGAGAGGAAAATATTAAAATGTTCAATAGTTTAAATTCAAGAACAAATAATCATTAATGATAATACAGTTTTCTAATTCATTTATATGATACACATCTCTTTCTATTTAGATCATCTTTAAATTCTCTTGAGTAGCAGGGAATATGGCTCAGTGGTAGAACAGTTGCCTAACATGAATGCACAAGGCCCTGGATTCCATCCCTGGCACAAAAAAAGGAAGGAAGGAAAGAAAAGGGAAAAAATTATCTCAGTAATTATTTGTTGTTTTCAGTGTATCAGTCTTGCAAATTTTTTATATTACTCCTTAGATATTTCTTTTTTTAAGTGTTAGTATCAGTGATATTCGTTTTTATTTCAACTTTCTATTTTATTATTGCTAGTATATGAAATGCTGTTAATTTGTGGGGTGGGTATATTGACCTGCAACTGTTCTAAATCCACTTATTCTAGTAATTTTTAAATTTCTTTCTTGCCTTATTATGTTGTCTAGAACTTTCAGTACAATGTTGAATAGAAGTTGGAAGAACAAACTTTTTAAAAAATATTTTTAGTCATAGATGAACACAATGCCTTTGTTTTATTCATTTTATTTTTTTATGTGGTGCTGTGGATCAAACCAAGTACCTCACAAGTACTAGGCAAGCACTGTACCACTGGGCTACAACCCCAGCCCAAGAACAGACATTTTTGCCTTGTGTCTGACATATGTGAAAAGTATTCAGTCTTTATTCAGGCACTACTTTAAGTAGTGATAGTAATTCTATAGGGTTTTTTATTTTTTTTCAATTGGTGTTGGGGGGGCACATGCATACACATTTGTTTTTATTTTTGTGTTTGTTTCTTTTTGTAGTGCTGGGAATTGAATCCCGGGGCCTTCTGCATGATAGGCAAGTGCTGTATGAGCTTCTCCCTTATTAGTTTTTCATTTTCTTTTACAATTTGATTGAAGAAGTTAGCTGATTTTTTTTTTAATCATGAATGGTGCTGAATTTTGTTCAAGTTTCTTACATCTGTTGTTTTTTTTTCTATACCTATATTTCTATAACATTCAATGATTTTTTTTTTTTTTTTTTTTTTTTTTGGCGGTATTAGGCAATGAACCTGGGGGCACACTACTGCACCACATCCCCATTGAGCTATATCCCCAGCCCTTTATATTTTTTCTTTTTAGGCAGGGTCTCACTAAATTGCTGAGACTGAGCTCAAGCTTGTGAACCTCCTGCCTCAGCTTCCCAAGTAGCTGGGATTATAAGCATGTGCCACCATGCCTGGCTATTCATTGATTTTGAGATGTAAACTTAGTTGTGCGAGGATAAACTATACTTGATTATAATATAATACTTTTGCATATATTGCTTGATGAATTTGCTAATTCATTGTTAAAGTAGCTTTTTGAGGGGGGGGTTGTTTTATCTGTGGTTCATTCAGGATTTGGTCTATAGTTTCTGTTTAATACCAGGTTAATCCTGCCTCATAAAATGGGTTGGGAAGTATTTTCTTATTTTCTAAAATAATCTTTCTCAAATGTTAGAATTCACCAGTGAAGCCATCTGAATCTGGAGATTTCTATTTCCTTATGAGAATATGTTAAACTACTAGTTTAGTTCTGTAATAGAATTAAGGCTATTGAGGTTATCACTTTTTTTTTAATTCACTGAGCTTTTGTAGTTTTGTGTCTCTCTAGAAATTTGTCCATTTTATATAAGTTATAAACTTTACTGGCATAAAGTTTTCCAGTTATCGTCTTTTATTCTTTTGGTATTTGAAAAATCTGTCACAGTGGTTCTTTCATTTTTCTTCTGGTAATTTGTGTCTCTCTTTTCCCCTCAATCATTGGCCAGAGATTTGTCAGTTTCATTGACTTTTTCAGAGTACTTGCTTTGGTTTTTATTCAAGTCCTCCAGTGTTTTCTGTTTCTTTTTTTCTGTTTGTTTCATTAATTTGATTTTAATTAGTTCTTCTTTTCCTAGTATTATACATGTGCATGCTTACTGACTTAAGGTATTCCTTTTTATCTAGTAGACGGTTTTAATGCTGTAAGTTTCCCTGTAAATACTATCCCTTATTGGCCGCCAACAAATTTCAATACATTGCATTTTTCTTTTCTTCTTTTAAACATTTTCTTCCTTTGCACATTTTTTTTAAAAATTTATTTTTATGTGGTGCTGAAGATCGAACCCAGGGCCTCACGTATGCCAGGCAAGCGATCTACAGCCCCAGCCCTGCATTTTTATTTTCATTCAAATGTTGAAAGTATTTTCTCTTGGGCTGGGGTTGTAGCTCAGTGGTGGAGTGCTTGCCTAGCACATGTGAGGCCCTGGGTTCAATCCCCAGCCCTACGTAAAGATAAATAAAATAAAGGTATTGTGTCCATCTACAACTAAATGTGTGTGTGTGTATACTGTATATTTTCTCACATCCTTTGTCATTTTTTTTTTGACACATTGATTGTTTAGAAGTATTTAATTTACATGTATTTGGGGTTTTAAAGGATTTGGCTTCAAGTTTCATTGTTTTCTTCCCTATTGTTTGTTTTCCATTTCAGTGATTTTTGCTTTTATCTTGTATATTTCCTTATTCTTGCTTTGAATTTACATTTTTCAAGCCTCTTAAAATAGAAGTCTAAATTATTAATTTTAGAGGATTCTTATTTTCTAGTATAAGCATTTAAACATAAAAGTTTCTGAGCCTGTTTTAACTTCATCTGCAAATTTTGATCTATTTTTAGTTTGTTCAGAACATTATAAAAATTTCATTTTGGTCATTCTTTGATTCTGTTGGTTAGTTACAAGTATATTGTTTAACTTCTAAACTTTGGGACTTGCTTCTAGATAATCTTCTTTAAAAAAAACAAAAAAACGACTAATTGTTATGGCTTTGATCTGGAATGCCCCTCAAAGGTTCATGTGTTGAAAACATCATCCCCGCTGCAGCAATGTCTACAGGTGGGGCTTTTGGGAAGTGACTGGATCATAAGGGCTCAGACCTCATCAGTGGGTTAATCTATTGATGGCCAAATAGACTATGGAGATGGGGACTTAGCTGGAGGATGTAAGGACACTGGTGTGCACCCTGGAAGAGTGTATTTTCGCCTGGCTCCTTCTTGCTTCCTAGCTACCATGAGCTGAGCAGCCTTCCTCTACTACATCCTTCTGCCTGAGAATCAGCTAACCATGGACTGAATCCTCTGGAACCATGAGCCAAAATAAACTTTTCCTCCTCTAAGTTCATGTCAGGTCTTTTGGTCACAGCAACAAAAAGCTGACTAACACCAATTTACTTCCATTTTTGCAGAGAAAATATATGTAATTCATCTTTATTATATTGAGACTTGTTTAGTGAATGGTCTACTTGCTCTTAAAAAAATGTGTTGAGAAATTACCAAAAGTTTTCTATCAATGTCAAATGAGTTTAGATTGTATTTTTTAGATATTCTAAGTCTTTACATATTTTTCTCCCTTAGTCTTCATTCTTTCGGTTACCAACAAACATATTAGCACCAATCACAATTTTGAACCTTTAAAAAATCTTGTTTAGCCACACACAGTAGTACATGCCTGTAATCCCATCATCTCAGGAGGCTGAGGCAG